TATATATATATATATATATATATATATATATATATATATATATATATATATATATATATGTATTAATTGATCGAAATTCCCTTTTCCCACCTAGAAAACAGATTTACAATAGATTCTCTAACTGATATGATGTTGAAAATGATTTTCAAGTTGTCAATGTATAAATTTTTCAAAAAAATATTGAATATTGATCAGCTGAAATCAAGTTTATCTGATTTCAGCTTCATTTCACGGCGTAATGTGTTTTTCGATCTTTCTCTTGTCCTTTGGTCTTGAGGATCCCAAGTGGGGGCTCACTGAAGATAATGTGGTGTATCTTTGCAGTTACAACAACTTCTGCTTTCATTGCCTCTGCTGGAATGGTGTCTAGTCTTGAGGCTTTGCCTCTCTTCATTTGTCTGATGACAGGTCGATATCATTGGGGTGGTGTATGGTTGCTGCTTCAATATTGGTTGGGTTCAGTGGGACTGATAGATTCAAGAGTTCTTCAAAGTGCTCTACCCACCTGTTTTATTGTTCTTCAATGTCTGTGATTGGTTTGTCTTTCTTGCTTTACACTGATCGTTCTAATTTACTATATGTTGCAACAAGCTTCTCCGTTTGTATCGTATAGTTGTTTGATGTTTCCTTCACAAGCAGCTTCTGCCGTCATTGCCAGATCTTCCGTATATTTAAATTTGTCGGCTCTGATGCTCCTTTTCATTTGCTTGTTTGCTTCCATGTATTCAGCCTGCACCTTGGCTCTCTCTGCTCTTGTTGGGTTGATATTGATTGCTTCCTTCTTGAATCTTATCCAGAGTATCAACAGAGATCCATTGCTTATGATGGTGCTTCTTATGGCCCAGAACTCCATGACATGTTGAAGTGATTGCCTCCTTGATCCTTTTCCAACTATTCTTCATGGCAATTTCCTTTGCATTAAGTAGATTATGAAAAGCCTGGAACCTATTGCTGAGGGCCATCTTGAATTAGTTGAGTTTGTCAGTATCCCAAGGAAAGGCTATGTAGGAATTTGAATCCTGCACTTCTATCTGAAATTTGTGCTGATGATGTCAATCAGAAGATTAATGAAAACTCCACAACCAAAACATCCAACTCACTGAACAAAACTACATCACAATTATCCACCTGCGATACAAATACTCTCTACCATCTCAAGAAGGATTCAACTAGTGAAGAAATCTATGTTCAAGATGTCCTGTTGGTCGACACCAAACTGCATAATATCAATTATAATGAGTACATCCTAATATTTACTAGTTCAAGTTAGTTATCACATGATAACTTGGTGGTTGATGGAGGTATGGATTCATACGAATTGGCAGACAACATAACATAACATCGATTTTTATCATACCATATGCATTTATTCATGATGATTTTTGTAAATTTTACTAATTAATTGTAAACTTTAAATTGAGATCAATTTTGGCAAAAGGAATGTTCAGAAACAATGTCTGACCTTGATTTTATATTACTTGCATCTGTTTTTATAGTAGTGTTGTGTTTCGATCAATAGAAATGATGCAAGTATGAAGTTTTCATTGACATTTTGAACAACATCATTAGCGCCTATTTGTCTATTGTTTAAAAATGTTAAATATTCAGATGAATATCTATTCAGATAAAGATCATTTCTATCTAAAACTCATTTACTTACTTACTTACTTACTTACTCCAGTTACACCCACCAATAGAGCATAGGCCGTTAGCCAGAATTCTCCAACCTACTCTCTCTTGGACCTTCCTTCTATTTTTCAACATTATGTGCTCTTTGGTCTTCCTCATTTCCTTGGACCTTGAGGATTCCAAATGAGGCCTTGTCCTGTGACGCAGTTGGGTGCTTTCGGGGATTTGTGTCCTATCCACTCGCAGCGCTTCATCCACTGGAATCTGGTTTCTTCTCTCCCACAGTAGGTTGTTGCTGATGGAGTCTGGCCAACCAAAACATGGCACAAATCAGTCAAGTCACTGACAACTGGATTAAGTCATGTCGGTAGATGTAGGCTACCTAGTTGGGGTCCGCGACCTTATGGTTTGCCGTACTAGTAGATATCAATGCTCTTTCCACAGACTTTCATATATCTTTCCAAGTTGCCTCCGGATGGGGATCCCTTACATGATCGCCTAACCGTGTTTCTAGTTTTTCCCGAAATAGATTCTTAGCTTTGTTATCATTAGGTACAACCCTAAGAGGATTCTTTGTGATGTCATTCCTACGTCTAGTAGGTCGCAAACAAATACGCGCCTGCATTAGATCATGATTTGAATCCAAAAATATGCTCCAGAACGAGTAACAGACCTTTATTGAACTACTCCGTTGGTGATTGATGGCGATTTGATCTAGTTCGGTCCAGTACTAAGACGAATTTCGAGGTCGCCATGTCAGGACATGCTTTTCCCTATGCCTAAAGTTAGTGTTTGCTAGAAATATGCGGTTATCTGAGCATATTTGCACCAGGCGGTCACCATTATATGTTCTCTGAGCCACGATACCATAACATCCACCCATGTGTCTTTCCTTTTCATTGAGTCTACCTACATGAGCATTAAAGTCACCAGCAATTATCACTATATTAGAGCGCCTAACGTTTTGGAGGAGATCGGAAAGCTTTCTATAAAACGCATCCTTCACCTGATCTGAACTACAGTCAGTAGAAGCGTAGGCGGCGACAGCGAAGAGGCAACGGCGAGTGTCTTTATCTTTCCGAGTCCTTACTGCCCCGTGCAGTCGGACAGCGTACAAGCGACTATTTACTGGGATCCAGTCTAAGAAGAATCAATTCTATATCTAGACCAGTGAGATCCCGTGAAGCATCATCAAGGCTTCCAGATATATGAAGAGTAAATCCAGCTGGATCTTAGTTCTGACACGGTGAGGTCAGAACAATGATTTCGCTAGGATCCTGTTGTCGCATTTCGGATACACAGCATATATGGATGATGCGAGATTCTAAAGTCCTAGCTAGTGAAGCCTGTTGTTCTGTTTGACACAATGTATGCACATTAAAAGCTCCATTATGTAGTTTAGAAAGGGATTTCAGGAGACCAGTAATAACTTTCCGTGAACTCTTATCATTTGCATTAGCGGTACGGGGTGATAAAGGGATGTGAGTAGAGTTAGTTTTGGAGAGAACAGAGATATTAGAGTGCGTAGGAAGGATTTGATTATGACCGATTTGGTCTCGTGTGCTGTTACTGGTATGAGGGCGGTTGTGACTTCCCGGTTGCCCGTACCATGGAAGGTTGTTTCTTGAGGAAACTGAAACTGAAGGTATATTAGTGTCGATCTTAGAGACCCGGGAACACGACCTGAAAGCCCAAGGGACAACTGCTTCAGGCCGGTCACGCTTGGCCATTTCATGAGGGAATTTAAAAGTATTAGCTATGTTTTTGTTTAAAAGTCTTTACTACCGGAGACGGAAATCCGTGAGGTAGGGTGTGTTGTGACATTTTTAGGGTCGACCTTTTCTAACTCTTCCTTCCTTGTGAGAAGGCAGCATCGCTGCAGATGCTGGTTGTTCGAGGGAAACACGTTACTGCTGTCACACCCGTCTGCAGTCAGCAGTACGACTTCTCTCTCAGACCTTGAGTAGCTGCTTTCAATTTCATCGTTCCACAATCGACCTTCCTGGCACGGTAGAACCTACAGGAACATATGTTCCAGCCAATATCGCTCGATTGGGTCATCACGAAAGGCAAGTCTGACCACCACGTCAAGGTAACAGCTACAGTCGGCCCCATTTTAACCGACAGAAATACGAATTCAGCACCCCAAGCTGTACAGTTGTACTGTTGCACACCTAATCGCACAGGTTGCGGAAATAGGCTTCACTGGCGCACTTGTATCTTGGCACAGAAACTACCTTGAGAAAAGCAAGGTTCGTACTTAGGTAAATACATTGCACGCGAGCTGGCGAGTATTCATATCGGCTGTTTCAGAGACGGCAAATGTGAATCTTCGCTTTATGTGAAGAGAACTTGGTGCGATTACCTCATAGTTATTCGTACCGTTATCTAAGGCATACGCACGTCCACACCTGGAGGTTCGCAAAGTCATAGCACACCTTCTGCTTAAAAGAGACATCAATATCTTGGGTCAAGTGCAGAGACGAGCTTGGAAACGGGTGATAGGGTTGAAGGACAAACCGTACGAAGATAAACTCCGGCACTTGGGATTATTTCCCTTGAGTTACAGGAGAATCAGAGGTGATCTGATTATAACGTACAACATTTCGGGCACGCCAAACCATCCCAACATGAGCATCTTAACGATGCATCACCACCACTCCCCCAGAGGCAATCCTCGAAAAATTGCACATCAAGGAGGGAATACTCAGGTTCGTGAACACTTTTTCTCAGTAAGAGTCAACGCAACTTGGAATGCTCTCCCAGACAAGGTGGTCGCAGCCCCCTTAGTGGACAGGTTTATAAGAGACTTGATAAACACCTACTCACACACGATTATTATCTCCTTCATTGACAAACTGTGCCTGATACATGTCTTGAGACTTGCTAGTCGGTATTATTGCCACCCCTTCAGATCACTAACTTAATCTGTCTCGCATATTATTTCTGTTTCCTCTCCCTTGCTTACACTTCGGTCCTTGAGCACAGTCTTCACTACCAATTGATAAACTAAATTAAGTATTTATAAACTTAGTTCTGAAATCCTCTTCTTTTTAGCATTAGAATTTTCGCCTTATTATTCCCCACACTGCAACTAACTGACCTCCCGTCTAATAATGTGATAGCTGATGGTCTCCAGAAACCCTACTGCCCTGAAACAATCGAATACATTCAAATCCTAAGACACAAACAAATAATTGCCTACTGACTAGAATTATGCAGTTGAGTAGTTAGACGCCCATTCGTTGGACAATACTAAATACCTAGAACTATACCGAAAGAACTAGAATCCAGCGCAAAGAAAGCAACTGGTTTATTCCAGCTAGTAAAAAAGATATTGGATATTGGAACGTTTTTGATATTGTATATTGGGAGGTTGTTGTAGAAAAACAGCGGGTGAATTGGAAGAAGCGTTACGGTTGGTTGATTGTTTGAAGGTCAACCAGGATGCCAAATTATGAAGTATTATCTCCTCAAGTCACTTGCCCTACATGCTCTGGATCTGGCCTCGTGCAAATAGGTATTTTTTATTTAAGTTTTGTAAACGCTCCCAGATTCCAGGGCAGAGTATGTGGCATTAATTCCTCTGACAGACCGACGTCTTCGACCGCGTAGAATATGCCTTAAACTCTTTGGTTCTGTAGTGATATGCTCTTTAGTCTTCATACTTCTATTAATATTCCTCTTTCCGCGAACAATCTCATTGAGTAGTTCAGCATATAAGTTGATTACTATCAATGCCATTGCTAACATGCAAGATAATGTGTTAGATCTCACTGTGATTGTATGTTCATTTTATATAACTTTTATGTTTCACCTAGAACCAAATAAATGTCTCAAATCCAAACTTTTTTCGTGCCACTGTGAGTGAAATTATTGTGTCTCCAGTATACCGTTCAGTGGATTTAGAAGATACTGTTGACAACTCCCTTCAAATATTACCGCTCCGTTCAAAAACTTTACTGAATGTGACAACCAAGTTACGCTTTGAGCATAGACATTTTGATGTGATGTAAGTTGGTCAATAATTTTTATGTGTATTCATTTCACAGTCTCCAAATTTGTCCGAGCTTCCAACTTTTAGACAGCTCCATTGAAAGTTTTATGAGAATGTGATAAAAAAATTTACTCGATTCTGCAATTTTTCCCTAAGGTTTATGGAAATTTTTGACACTTAGAAAAATAGTATCAGTTGTCAATATGAAATCCTATATTTTTTACTTGTTCTGAGTTTATCTACCTAAATTTCTCCAAGTTCAAGATTTGTACGGAAAATTTTTAAACTTCACAAATATCCTGATTATTCTATATCAGTTGGTAATATAAGGATAGGTGCATTGATTTTTACTCAGTATATTTCACAGTCTACTTGATAATCAGGATAGAAACAATCCTTTCATATAACTCAAGTTAAAATAAGACGTAAATAACTGACTGGTTACCTCAGTGAAAATTAACTTTTATTTATGATTTATATATTCGTCATTCAATAATACTTTGAAGACTTTGTCTCATGAAAGGAATTGTCCAAACCAAGTCTTTAAATGTAGAAAGAATTGGTCTTTTCGGGAAACATTTTATGTCCTAAATGCTTATTATTTAATATTAAGAAAATAAAATTGTGTATTGTAATGAATTAAAACATTGTTCAAAGGAACAAGGCCCCAACACTTCTACATCTACTAGTTGTTTGGAGACGCTGTAGCTTCATCAATACTGTCCAGTTATATCTGTTGTATTCTAAAACAGAAATAAAAAGTGAGAACGTTAATCACTAGCTTCAAAATATCTAGGGTATATGTGGATATTTATAAAATAAGACTGAAGGTTATAAATCTACGCGATTAACTAAAAATGAAATAAGCTACAGTAATATTTATACATCCATTAGAAATGAACAGCCTACTGTACTGTCACTCAGCAAGAGTTTGCTGTTTGGGACCCGCGAGATGATAGCAATCAGTGGTTAGAGACCCTGAGTGACATGGCTCAGGTGCATTCATTCTTTGTGTCCTCTCAAATATTAACCTTCAGAGTTCCTCATCACCTTTGTTTTTTTCTTTTAAGTTTATTTCACTGGATTCTAATTCTTGAGTAATATCGTCGAACCATAACCTCTCCGATTACTGCTAATACTTCTGCTACCTATACTACTATGATATTTGAAGTGACCATTCGATCTGTGTGCTAGTGTGTGTCATGGCAACCTGAACTGATGTACGTACATACGAAGTTCTACGTTGTAATTGACTGAATGTCACTCAGAGTTTAGTTGGCTATCTGGAAAAGTTATCAATAAGTCATTGAAACGTTGTAACTTGAAACTACATAGTTTTTAGAACCTATACTACTTTTTTGCTCTTCGACAATATACGTTGTATCTTCCAATCATGCAAGCAATCCTGACAAACGGACTCTATTTTTTTTCCGTATCTTTGTCTGATTAACCAAATAACTGCTGACATTTAAAGACAAAATATCTATAAAACAAGAACGTTTTAAATGATAAAAACCTGCTGTAAATCTTTCTATGAAACCGATAGTTATTAATACCGACTTTTTACTTTGTTTTATGCAATATATATTGAGTGGCTATTTGCCATGACATAATGTAAATGAATAATAGTTGAGCAGTTTTGCGTGGATCATTTCTATATTTTCCAGATAGTTTTTTCACCTTGAATCGTAATAAACAGCCCTCCAGTAACTGTAATTACTGTTTTCATGTAAAACAAACCGATGGACTGGAAAAGAAACTAAACTTGAGTAAACTAACTGACTCACATATATTTTCTAGTCTATATTAAAATTGATTCTATTGACACTTTGTGTAATATTCAACGAGGTTTACACTTTGAATTTGATTGCATTCTCTAGTTTTTAATTTGTAGTCTTGGCACTCATTATATTTACTCTTTAAAACAGTCGGTTGCACGCGACTTGATCTAGAGCTTACTAAACATTTGATCTGGTGGTAAATTGTATGTCTTGTTGTTTTTCACGTTGTTTGATTACTGTTGATTACTTTCATCATCATTGAACTAAATTTAACCACTTGAATTCATAATTTAAATCTATATGATACTTAGTACGTTTCTTGTCATCTGTTTTTAATAGTATCAACATCCTTAATATTTCTTGTATTCGACTAATTTGATCTCTCGTGCTGTTACGGGTATGAGGGCGGTTGTCACTTCCCGGCTGCCCACACCGTGGAAGGTTGTTTCTTGAGGGACCTGAAAAGGAATATAGATTAGTGTTGGTCTTGGAGACCTGGGAGCGTGATCGCACAGTCTGTGGGACAACTGCTTAAGGCCGGTCACGTAAGGCATTTTCATGGGAAGTTCTTAAAATGTTTACTCCGCTCTTCTAAAAAGGCCTTACTGCCGGGCATGGGAATCCGTTAGGTAAGGTGAGGTGTGACTTTTTAGGGTCGACCTTTTCTAACCCTTCCTTCCTTGTGAGAAGGCAGCATCGCTGCAGATGCTGGTTGTCGGAGAGAAACACGTTACTGCTGTCACACACCTCTGCAGTCAGCAGTACGACCTTGCCCTCAGACCTTGAGTAGCTGCTTTTAGTCTCATCGTTCTCCAATCGGCCTGCCTGACATGGTAGGACCTGCAGGAACATATGTTCCAGCCAGTATAGCTCGATTGGGTCATCACGATAGGCAAGCCCGACCACCACGTCAAGGTAGCAGCTACGGTCGGGTCTTGTATTCAATCAGTCAGTCAGTTAGCTACAACATAGAACTTGGTGCGTACATACAGCAAGTCAAGTTGCCATACCACATCAGCACACAGAAATCGGATTGTTCATTCAAATCGCATAGAAGTAGAAGTATTAGGAGTAATAGCAGTAGTCGAAAAGATTAGAGTTTTAAGATGTTATTTAATGAGTATAATCTAGTGAAATAAATTTTTTTAAAAATGTAAGTGAAGAGGAATTCAGAAGAATAGAATTTGAGAGAACACAGAATGGATGCACCTACGCCATTGAGTCATGTCATTCAAAGTCTCTAACCACCGGTCACGATTGTCTCAGATAGTCTATAGCTATTGAAATGGCATATCCTAAGTCAGTAAATCTTCTGGTATAAGAAAGTCAACTCTTGAAAAGTCAGACGAAAGTCTCGTCTTTTCTTGTATTAATTTGATTCATTGTCTAACTGTAGTGCGAGCTACTTTTAAGTAGTATATGACGTGTGTCAACCTAATGTCTGGCAGCAGCAGAAGATGGGGGGAAGATCAAGAGAAAGGAAGAGTTAGAACACAATGAAATTTGTATGAAACGCATGAATAGTGACAATGGATTGATGTTTTGCAACAGGAACAGTTCAGTTCGATATGATGAACTGATATTTTGCAAATTAACGATTTTAATGAATCGATCAATGTTAGACCACCATTAGAGAGACCTGGAAGCACTGGACGGCCGTTTCGTCCTGGTATTGGACTCATCAGCAGTGCGCATTTACGACTCCTGCACCTCGCAGCACTCGAACCCAGTATGCTCGGTATTTCATTGAAATCATAAATCAATCATTATTTTTAGACCACCATTAGAAATATGGAAGCACTGGACGGCCATTTGATCATAGCAATATGAGACTCTTTAGCAGTACGCACCCCCGCTCACGGGAATCAAACCCAGGAGATTCGGTCTCGTGCATGAACTCTTAAGCACTATACTTCTGAGCCAGCATCTAACAGTACGTACTCACACCTGTTACCCCTAATGAAGCATAGGCCAACAACCAGTGAATTATTTTTCCGGTTAGCGCTTTTGTTTCTTAACGAGTTGTATTCTTACTGGATGTGGTCACTAACCCCCCGCTGCCCAACCCTCTTCATTTATCCACATTTTCGGGACCGGCAATAACCCTACAAGAGCTCCAAGCGGAGTTGCATCGAACAGTGTTAATGTTTAATACATGTCGGTAATTGTCGACTACCTGGTTGGGGTCCGGGAGATGATAATAATCGGTGGTTAGAGACCTTGAATGATATGGGTCGAAACCGTTTGCAATGGCGCCGGTGCATTTATTCTTTGTGTTCTCTCAAATCCTAATCTTGTGGATTCTTCAACACCTCTAGTTTTGACTTTCTAAACTTTTCTAATTAAATCATACTTCTTGAATAATATCTTCTAATCCTAACCTCTCTGATTACTTCTAATACCTTTACTACCTCTTCTACTATTGGATTTGAATTGACAATTATATCTCTGTGCTGATGTGGTATGGCAACATGAACTGATGTACTTACGTACGAAGTTCTACGTTGCATCTAACTGTGTTAATGTTTAACTTTGATCAATGTAAGAATTTTTGCACAACCAATGTATATGTATTTATTGTCTTTTTTTTTTCCCTTTGAATAGTAAATTATGCTTCATGAAATTGCCTTATTTTCATGATATCTACGTTACATTTACGTAAGTTTAAATATACATGATCGACTGCTTTTGTTATTGTTCTATTGAAGGTTTTTGTTTAAAATTGTTTAAAGTCTTATTTTATTTGTAACCATGAATCAATCAATGTTAGACCACCATTAGAAACCTGGAAGCACTGGACGGCTGTTTCGTCCTGGTATGGGACTCATCAGCAGTGCGCATCCACGACTCCTGCTCCTCGCAGGATTCGAACCCAGGACCTTCGGCATTGTGCTCTAACGCCCTAACCGTTAGACCACTGAGCAGGTATCTAACGGTGTTAATGTCTAACTTGATCAAATCCACGGAGTTGCGCAACCTCATACCCTGTATACATCCGGACAGGTTTGAACTTCACTGGTCACGACTTCCCATACCAGGACGAAACGGCCGTCCAGTGCTTCCAGGTTTCTAATGGTGGTCTAACATTGATCGATTCATGGTTACAAATAAAACTTAACAATCTTCACAACAACCCCGCAATATAAAGTCTTATTTGTTAAACACCGTTATAATTTCATATTAAGGTTGTATTGTATTGTTTTTTTTCTTGTGGCCCATGAATGCACTCCGATTTGCGACAAACTATTCAATATATGCTAGGAACAGACAACTTAAATCTTCCTTTCAAATTCCTTATGTTTTTTTCGATGGCGACGTAATAAGAAACCAAATACGGATTCATCAGTCGGATAAGTCTTATTTCATGCGATCATCCACACAGAACAGACATTGACTGACGAAATCTCAGCTCGGATACAGAAAGCTCGATTGGCTTTTCCCAACATGCGTCACTTATGGCGTAGGCGTGATATCCGTTCGCTAACCAAAGGATTGGTGTACTGCGCAGCAGTTCGCTCCGTTCTCCTATGTGGATGCGAAACATGGCCGTTAAGAGTAGACGATGTTCGTAGGTTATTAGTATTCGATCATAGATGTTTAAGAAGCATTGCTCGTATACCGTGGGACAACCGTATAAGCAATGCTATCGTTAGGAAATGAGTTGTCGGTAGGGATGTCAAATCAATAGATGAATTAGTGAAACTTCATCATCATCAAATCCTAATCTTCTGGAATCGTCAGCACCTCTACCTTTGTCTTTCTAACTTTATCTCACTGAATTATACTTCTTGAATAATATCTTAGAACCCTAGTCTTCTTCGTTACCATTAATACCTCTACTATCTTTATCACTATGGGATTTGATTTGACATTTGCTTCTCTGTGATAATATGGTATGGCAACATGAACTTATGGACATACGTACGAAGTTCTACGTTGCAGCTGACTGACTGACATTGACATGCTTGAATGCTATTACAAGTTCACCTTACCCAGTAAACGAGATAGAACACAAATGATCCAGTGACACGATAGGCTACCCTAATCTGAGCGATCCAAGGCCCCACCAAGTACAGGAAGAAGAAGTCTTGATATGGCGTAGAAAGTGTATTCTACAAGCACCCAGAAACTACGAGGTCGCTAAGCACACAAATCAAGCTTATTTATACAATGATAGAAACGTCCTTAGGGGAACTACAAAACTAAAATAATACATCAACCAATGATAGCCAAGGATTTTCCGAGTGGGAAATTTAATCTCATGGTCGAATAAGTAGCTTATGCATGAAAATATCAAAAAAATCCAAAATTAGGATCTTTTCCGAGTGAATTCTGGTAATCTAACGTCCCCCAACAGACATGAGAATAGGAAGAGTATAATGGTGAAGCGGCGAATGGATGTGATGTGAGCTAACTGTCAGTTTGTGACCAGTGTAACATTGTGATTAGCGAAGTAAGTGATGTACACTCGCACTCAAGTAGAAACAACCAAGGCGTTTAAGCAAATACTGGACGTGTGAATAATAACTCAAGATAAACAGTTTAATTAATTTGTCTAAAGGCTTTTGGGGCAAACCATGCTGACTTGACATATATCAGTACACACTTCTACATGTTTTAGCAGTCAAACATTTCGATACTACTCTTTTCTGATCATTATCATTATTATAGAATTATGATTCAGTTTTTTCTTTAAAAAAATTTACTCCCATTGTGGTGCGCGCTACTTATAAGTAGTATATGACGTGAGTGTCAACGTAATGTCTGGCAACAGCAGAAGATGGGGGAAGATCAAGAGAAAGGAAGAGTTAGAACACAATGGAATTTGTATGAAACACATGAATAGTGAAATGTCAGACAATGGATTGATGATTGATTGAAGATTTGCAAATTAACGATTTACGATATGGTTTTCCTATTTTACTGAGTAACTCTGTAGTTTTCGTTTAATACAAGTCGGTTGCCCTCCTTCACTACACCATCTTCAATAACACTGTAAACATCATATTGAAATAACTAAGTCGATCGATTAGTATTTACTCATTACATCACATATTTTTAAACCAAACTTTGCCAGATGATATTAGATATCTGTGCTGAAATATCAGAATTTTTCGATGAGGTTTCATTCTCTGAGCTGGATGTTTTGGTCTGGAAACTTTTATCATTCGTCTAAACACTACCATTAGTAGTGTACAATTCATGTGGAAGTGAATATTTCAGATTTATCCATATATTATATGGACTTCCGGTTTGTTTTGTGGAGAAATTCGAGTAATTGACTTTTTCCCGGAAGTTTACGCAAACGATATTTGTCATTGTAGGATTTTGCAAATTGTTGAGTTTCACTTGATAACATGAATCGATCAATGTTAGAGCACCACTAGAAGCTTGGAAAGATTGAAAAGCCGTTCCGTCCTAGTATATGTAACTCATCAGAAATGCACATCTACGATGCCCGCTTGCGGGAATCGAACCGAGAACCCTCGGTCTCGCGTGTGAACACTTAACCTCTAGATCAGTGAACTGGCATCCAGCAGTGTTCATGTCTTACTTCGATCAATGCGAGGTATCACGCCACTTCATCCTTTGTCTACGGGTGTGTAACTGCTTCACATCGGACAGAATTGAACCCCGTTGATTACACAACTCAGTCAGTCACTCAGTCAGTTGCAACGTAGGACTTCGTACGTATGTACATAAGTTCATGTTGCCATACCACATTAGCACAGAGACGCAAATGTCAAATCAAATCCCATAGTGATAAAGAGCGATTAATGGTAATGAAGAAGACTAGGGTTTGAAGATAATATTCAAGAAGTATAATTCAGTGAGATAAGGTTAGAAACACACAAAGGTAGAGGTGCTGACGAATTCAGAAGATTAGGATTTGAGAGAGCACAATGAATGGATGCACTTGCGCCATTGCAAACGATTTTGAGTCATGTCATTCAAGGTCTCTAACCATTGGTGACTTTCGTCTAGCGTACCCCAACCAGGTAGTCTACATCTACTAACATGACTCAATCCACTTGTCAGTGACTTCATGGATTTGTGCCATGTTTTGGTTTGGCCGCCCCTAACTTTCTTCCAACCTACTCCTACACCACAAAACACAACTTCTCAACTAGAACTCGTATAAATTTCCTCACTAAGCTAGCCGCTACCGAACACATGATAACTATCTCTATGAAGATTGTAAAGATTGTTGAGTCTCATTTAAATCATCTACCAAACATCATAGGTTTGATTTCCACCAATGAAGATCGTGAATGCACATTACTGATGCTTCTTATATACTAGAAGTTCAACCTGTTCGGGTGTAGGCAGTGTCTACCGAAGACTGTGTATGAGGTTGCGCAACTCCGTGAATTTGATCAAGTTAGACATTAACACCGTCAGATACCGGCTCAGTGGTCTAACGGTCAGGGCGTTCGCATACAATACCGAAGGTCCTGGGTTCGAATCCTGCGGGGTGCAGGAGTTGTGGGTGTGCACTGCTGAGGAGTCCCATACCAGGACGAAACGGCCGTCCAGTGCTTCTTGCAGGTTTCTAATGATGATCTAACATTGATCGATTCATGGCTTCAAAAATAGAATAAAACGATCAACGTGAAAACTTTACAATCAAAACACCCTTATATAAGTAGTAATTATTGGATTAATGATTGTTTTTTTTCCCGTTATAACATTTTACTCTTTATGCTCAAAAATTAAAATCATACTCATACACTTCTTCTTTCTTTTATTTTTCTTCTAAATTAGCTTTCATATTACTTATACATTATTATGGCAAGATTTTAATACTTATCTTACAATTATGCCATTGGTCGATTGTTATCCAACAAATATCAATTCATCAAATGTAATAAAATTTTAGAAAAAAATTCTCCCGCCTCTTGTCTTTTTTCAAATGAAACAAAGAAAAAAACAATTTTATTTTTGACTTTGCCAAAAACAGAAGAGAACATTTTTTTCAAATTTATAGTTTTTTGTTTTCGTTTATTGATAAAATTGACGCGTTTTTATTCGCTCGATCGTCTTTTTAAGTCATGATCAAATTGAATTGAGTTGAATTTTATTTTATTTATATTTTGTTTTAATTCGTAGATTTTTAAAAATTTTTTTATTCGCGCAATTCAATTTTCATTGTATATTTAATTTTGAACAAAGTTTATGTGTGTGTGTGTTTTGTCTGTGTGTTTATTTATTTTCGAACAAAGTTTATGTGTTTGTCTGTGTGCTTGTCTGTATATCTGTCTGTTTATCTATCTATCTATCTCGTTCACTGCCCGTCTGTGTTAACATCTTCATTGCAATCCCATTAATTTGGCATTTGATGTGTTGAACCAAAAATAGTGATTACATAATAAATAAATAATTTTTTTTAAAAAAACTCAAATGTCACGACATTTGTAAATTGTTAACATGTCAGTCGTATTATGGGATTGTGGTGATTGTTGAGTTAATTGTTTTGAAATTATGAATCGATTCATGATAGATCACATCATTAGAGAAAGCTGGAAGCATTGAACGACGGTTGTTTTGTCCTGGTGCATGGGACTTACTCATCAGTAGTGCTCAGGTTAGGTGTTCTTGCGCAAGACCTAAGGTCTTGGGTTCGAATCCTGTGAGTTGCAGGCATCGTGGATACACACTGTCACCGATGGGTTCAATAACAGGATGAAACGTCCATCGTTCAGTGCTTCCAAGTTTCTCTAATGGTGGTCTAACAACATTGATCGACTCATGGTTTTCGAAAAAAAATCTTTTTAATTTTTCGCCTGTCAGTTTTACAAAAAATGTAGGGGAGGAAAAAGCGAATGCTCCATGCTTGACCTGGGTTGATGTTTCCTTTGTGAGAAAGCAGCATCAATGCAGATGCTGTTTGTCTGAGGAAAACACCCTACTGTTGTCACGACCCTCTACAGTCAGTAGTACGACTTCGTCCTCAGACCTTGAGTTGCTACTTTTAGCTTTGCCGTTCTCCAGTCGACCTGCTTGGCATGGTAGGACTTACAGGAACATATGTTCCAGCCAATATAACTCGCTTGAGTCATAACAAATCCTTACGTTATTCCACTACCTTTGGATCCAAAAGGTTAGAGAGTTGCCTCTTAAGGAGATATCACCTGTTTCGTTCTGGGCGCTTGAGCAGTATTCCAGCTGACTCACCAATTCAATGATTTATCTGATGCATAAATATTTATAAACCTTTTTGTTTTCAGTGTTGACATGTTTAAATAACTCAATATTAATAGGGATAATAATAATAAAAGTGTGAGCGATTTTTTAACTGTAATCTGACTAATCAATTTTGTGTGGGTTTTAAGCGACACTCCGCTGCATACTACTTAAACGCCATATTGCGAGTAGTATCCATCATGATAGTATGGATTTATTAGTTCTTAGGAATAACCCGTATACATGTACTTTCATTGTCAAAACTAAGATAGAACTGAAAACAAACAATGCTGTGAACTCACAACGATCTGATTGGCTTACTTACTTACCTACTTACGCCTGTTACCCCCAATGGAGCATAGGCCACCCACCAGTTTTCGCCAACCAACTCTGTTCTGGGCTTCCCTCTCCAGTTCTGTCCAATGTTTGATCATTCCTCTCATATCTTTCTCTATTTCTCGGCGTAATGTAATCCTTTGCCTTCCTCTTTTCCTTTTGCCTTGAGGGTTCCATGTGAGCGCTTGTCTTGTGACGCAGTCAGGTGCTTTCCGCAATGTGTGTCCTATCCACTTCCACCACTTCTTCCTGATTTACTCCTCCACTGGAATCTGGTTTGTTCTCTACCACAGTATGTTGTTGCTGATGGTGTCTGGCCAACGAATCCGAAGTATTTTGCGTAGACAAATGTTAATAAATACTTGTATCTTCTGGATGATGGCTTTCGAAGTTCTCAAGGTTTCCGCTCCATACAGTAAAACTGCCTTGACATTTGTATTGAAAATCCTGATTTTGGTGTTGATTGATAGTCGTTTGCAGTTCCAGATATTTTTCAACTGTAGAAATGCAGCCCTTGCTTTGCCAATCCGTGCCCTCACATCTGCATCGGATCCACCTTGGTTGTCGATGATGCTGCCCAGATATGTGAAGGTGTTAACGTCCTCCAAGGCATCTCCATCAAGAGTGATTTGGTTGGTGCATGTTGTGTTGGATCGGAGAATTTCGCTTTTTCCTTTATGTATGTTGAGACCTACTTCTGCAGAGGCTGCTGCTACACTCGTCGTCTTCTCTTGCATTTGTTGTTGCGCGTGCGATAGAAGAGCCAGGTTATCTGCGAAGTCCAGATCGTCCATCTGATTGGCTGGAGGACAGTCAAGTGAGGTATAAAACACAATTACTATTCTACATAAATATTATTTATGCTGTGATTAATACAAAGAAATTGAATAGTTGATGAATTGAAATCACGTGATTTGTCCAAATGAAACTGGTTTAATTGTAATGTTTGTAACCATGAATCGATCAATGTTAGACCACCATTAGAAACCTGGAAGCACTGGACGGCCGTTTCGTCCTGGTATGGGACTCATCAGCAGTGCGCACCCACGACTCTAACATTGATCGATTCATGGTTACAAACAAAACTTAACAATCTTCACAACAACCCCGCAGTGCAATTAATTGTAATAGACTACTTACTAAATGGGTATCGAGTGAAATTTGAATTAGAGAAGTTTTTGTCATGTAGTAGACTAATTTCCTAGATAAGCATGTTTCACCATTGTTAGCCTTGAAGAATTGTGTTTTTATCAAGATATCAAAGAAGCGAAACCTTAGCAAGTATGCGAACTGCAGAGACATCACTCTACTTTTAATACCAGGAAAGTCGTAAACAGAGTATTATTGGACAGAATGAAAAATTCAGTAGATATCCAACTTCGAGATCAACAGGTCATATTCCGTAAAGATTGGTTGTGTAAGGACACTACGGTTCACTGTGGAACAATCAACTGAATAGAACCTACCACTTACTTTTACAATTTATATTTCTCCAGGTGGTCGATTGGATTATGAAGACTTCGAAATCTCAGGGAAAGAAATGGATACAGTTTACAACTAGGATGCAGCTGGACTTGGCAGATTTTTTAGCTCTGCTATCCCATACACAACAATAAATCCGAACTAAGACGGCCAGTGTAGGAGCAGCTTCTGCAGTAATAGGTCTCAACATACTTACTTACTTACGCCTGTTACCCCCAATGGAGCATAGGCCGCCCACCAGTTTTCTCCAACCAACTCTGTTCTGGGCTTCCCTTTCCAGTTCTGTCCAATGTTTGTTCATTCCTCTCATATCTTTCTCTATTTCTCAGCGTAATGTGTTCCTTGGCCTTCCTCTTTTCCTTTTGCCTTAAGGGTTCCATGTGAGGGCTTGTCTTGTGACGTAGTTAGGTCCTTTTCGTAATGTGTGTCTTATCCACTTCCACCGCTTCTTCCTGATTTCCTCCTTCACTGAAATCTGGTTTGTTCTCTCTCACAGTACGTAGGTCTCAACATACGCAAGGCAAAAATTATGATTATCGCATACAAGAAAACATGTAACAACCAAGTCACTCTTGATGGAGGAGCTCTGGAGTGGTAAGACCATATACACACCTCTGCAGCATCACTGATGAACACGGTGCATCTGATGCAGATGTGAGGGAATGGGTTGGTAAAGTAAGGACACATTTCTACAAGTGAAGAACATCTTGAATGCAAAACAAAAGTCATCCAGTTCTGAAGTCACATTTTTTAGTGCGAACGTCAAGACTGTTCTGTTGTATGGAGCTGAAACTTCGAGAACTACTAAAATCATCATCGAAAAAATTCACGTTTTTATCAACAGTTGTCTTCAAAAGACAGTCCAGATCTGCTCATCAAGTGCGACGAGCAACAACCTACTGTGGGTGAGAATAAATCACCTTCCAGACGAATAAGAAATTAGGTAAAGACTTGAAGGTGAGTGGATAGGACACTATTTACGGAAAGCAGCCAACTGCGTCACTTGACAAGCCTTAACATGGAAAAGTCAACTGAAAAGAGGCAGATGAGAGAACGCATTCATGAATTGAAAACAAGAATGTTTTGCACTTGACAAAATCTTGAAATGTTAAGTCACTGAATTCCTCCTAATCATTATGGTACTCAACATCATGACACTTTCGAAGTAAATGACTTAAAGACAAGCATACTAGTAATTCAGTGGTAGTTCAATTTTTTTAGTATGCACTTTGTAAATAGTGTAGTGTACTTTTAACTAATCGATATCACTTATATTATTGTTGATCTTAATAATTTTTAGCTTGATAATAAAATTTTACACGTTTTTTTTTATGTCTAAACATCTTGTGATACTCGATTATGTGTGTGTCATAAGATCTGATCTCGTTACACGGTAACTCCTCAAACTAGCTACTTGAATGAGAAGGTACAAACAGAAAGGAAAATTCTAATTGGCTATTGGCCATTCTATTTCCGTAAAAAAGAAAGCCATTTCTTGACCAATGATATGTAGGATATTTGCTGATGGTCATCAAATAACCTTGTAATTAGGCCACTTCTGATTGGTTTAGTATATCACATAGTTGGTCACTCACTCAATAGTGGCTATCGTTGTGTATGTACACTCTGTTAAGTACTGATCGGATCGTATCGTATCGATCAGGTTTCAGTACGGCTAATTAGTCTAAGTACCTTGACATCACGTGTATTAGTTTGTTGTATGGTAATGGAAGTTAGTCAGTAGAAAATCGACGATCTACTACGTTTTGAGCTATTTGGCATTCGTTAACGAGGCGTACCTGCAATTTCCTTCGGTAGAATTCAATTAGCAGTTAAAATTTGCCACCATTCAGCGATAAACCACTAAATACGTCAATCTTGATGGAGGCCAACCGCTGGGTAGGACTGTTTCGAGTTGAACAGCAGCTATCAGTTCTCTCTAGAATGCGAATATATTATGTAGACAAGTTCTAGGAAGCATGAAAGTTTCATGAATGTCAACTAACACATTGTATTTTTAATGGTTAGATATGAGGAAGGTAGCTGGTATGGGACTCTTCAGCAGTGTGCATCCACGACTCCTGCACCTCGCAGGATTCGAACCCGGGACCTTCGAAATTGTGCGCAAACGCCTAACCATCGGACCACTGTGCCGGCCGGCATCCAACGGTGTTAATGTCTAACTCTGATTGATCTAGGGATTGATTGATGATTTAAACTGTGTAAAAACACAAACCTCCAAAACTCTGCCTGTAAATACAGTGAAATTATGTCTGAAACTGAATACACAAATCTAATTTTTTCAATTAAGATAAAGGAACCTGGTTAGATAACTGTCTGACATTTGAAGTTTTTCGAAAACACTTCATGTTATCATTTCCCAGCTGAAGTTCA